ACCTTCCATCCGTGATCACTACAGTACTAACATTATCTACTCCGAGTAATGTATATAACGTTAGGGATATAGTTAGGCTACAGTACATGTAGTCGTCGCTCTGTCCAATGATTCAAAGCTATGCCATACCTTCAACTCGTGATCTGCTCTAACCTTAGCACTGTACGTGAAAGGCAAGGGCGCACTACGACTACACGATGCATAGTACTCCCATTTCACATCCTAATACGGTATGCATCGTGATGAACTGGTGGTTGTACGGCGTAAGTTGGCCTGGTGCTGCAACTCGATTAGTTAGCAGCTGAAATAAAGTAAGGGTTGTTTTATTCTGCTGAAATGCAGAACTTGTGTTTAGTGTTGTTTTATCTTCAATCGGGCTTATATAATTTTAAACGTCTGGTTGTTTAACTGCGTTAAACAACCGGCAAACTACATGAAAAGCACAATACTTCCAAGCGAGTTAACCGACGAGTCGCAGTTCTACTTGGCGTTTTCTACTTTTACTACGTACAAGTAATACTCGGAGTAACTAATACTATTATTAATAATATGTAACGTTAGTAAAAATAGAAAACGTACTAACGTTAATAGTACCAGAATAATGAATCATCATCCATCCACACGTTCATACGCTCTCCCGCCGCCGCCGTAACTAACGTTAATAGTACCAGAATAATGAATCATCATCCATCCACACGTTCATACGCTCTCCCGCCGCCGCCGATGCCGCCGCGATACCAGTACTACGTAGTAGTACGGGTAGTACACTGTAACTTTGTTAACCTTTGCAAATGCGCCAACCTTGGAAACACACACTCTCACGACGTATGGACTTTAGCAGGGGGCGGATCCTGGGATTCCGTCGGCCTTTGTAAAATGTTGCGGCACCTGCTGTATGGTCCAGGGAAGGAATCCAACATCCCACGGAGCCACGTCAGATTCCTTCAAACATTTCAACTTGGTCGACCAATCACATTGCCGTTTCAGTAGAAGGATGTACCCACACAAATAGCAAATTATATACTTGGTCAAAATAATTCGCAGCACTATATCTGATAGTGAACGTGTATAAGAAACTATCCAATGGTACAGTCCAATATACATAATCGTGGTGCAAATCGTATAGCTACGTATCATTTTGTCACAATATACTTCCTGCAGTGGGTAGGAACTCCACGTTATGTACCATTAGAATAGGTACGTCATGCACTTTTACTAGTATACCAAGGGTATTTCGCTCAAAATAATCAATAGGTGCCATATGCTGGAGGAGGGGTGAAATGTTCACCATTTCTATTTCATCCATAATACTCCGGCGTATGTATTATGAAGTACTGTACTGTACTGTAATAAATGTATTGTTGGTATCGATAGGAGTATTTAAATATGATGCCGCGCCAGGACAGAAGACATGCGTGTCCACCTGGCACAATTGTCACTCATTGTCCATTTTGCCTCCTACCAGAAGGGAGAGATAAGCATGGGACTTGGCGAAGCACAGCCCGTGTCGGCGACGTCGTCCGCATATTCGAACGGCACGCAGCGTTCGTCGTCCATGGGGACGTTGGCGTTTGCGACGGAACTGCCGCAGTATTTTGTGGACTTTCAAGTTAAAGCCAGTGGGTTGTCGCTCACGTCCAAGTACGAGTGGCGTCAGTTTGCGCTCACGGGACCCGTCCTGGACGTGTACTTGCTGGAGAAGAAGACCCATTCGTTCCGTGCGTCGGACGTGAGCATCCAGTTCATGTCGGAGACGTTTTTCCGCCTCGACGTCAAGGGCAAGCGGGTGTTTGTATTGAACGTGCCATCCCAGTCGCGACTTACCAAGTTCCAACGCGTGTTGCAGCTGGCATCGAGCAACCCCAGGTGGTCGCCGCCCGTCGTGGACGTGCTCACGGACCTTGTGGGAGTGGCCACCGAGATTGTCGAAGCAGAAACCTCTTCCAAAGTGGCCGTGGCCGCTTCATCCGTGACGATTGCACAGATTCAAACTCACTTGGCCGAGATGCACTCGATGTATCAACTGCAGGCGTCTTGCTCGTCCATGGAGGAACTATACGACCATCTGCTCACGATTGAAGCTGACTATTGCACGAACGTCCACACCGACAACTTTGCGCACACGGTGCACAAGCTGCACCCGGTGCAGTACATTCGATCCATGGGCCGCCGCGACTTGTACCGGCAATGCCTCAAGGCCAAGCTGGCCACGTGTCCGTACGTTTCTTGCGGCCACCCGATTCCCGTCGGTGTCATGTACAAGGTCCACATCAAAGCCGAGTCGTTGCCATGTCCGCGGTGCAACAACGTGCTCTCTGTTGGCGCGTTCAAAATTGCTTCGTTCATCGCCGAAGCCCCTCAGTTTGTCATTGACCACGAGTTTCGCAACAATAAGCAGTGTCTTCTCGTACAGACTCCGGGGATGCCCACGGACGGCCGCGTTGAATCGTTTATGAACGAACTTCGCCGGCGCATGCACGTCGCCGCGCCAGACGCGAGCCGCGACGCCGTCGTGATGCTGCAGACCCAAGTGGCCACCCTAGCAACCAAGCACTTGGTCAACGAGTTGGGTGCGTTCGAAATCGACCTCGTTCAAGCGATGCTTCGGCAGCTGGACTTTTGCAACAAAATGTGCCCCAATATGGAGTACTGGACCAACCCGATTGTGCTCGCGGCGTCCATGAGCCGGTACCACAAGTTTATGCACGTGATGAAGGTGAAACTCAAGGACAACGTGATGCTCGTTCCCACGTCCGATATTGACCTGGTGTGGCATACACACCAAAGCTTCCCCGGTGACTATGGTACATTTTGCCGCCACACCGTTGGCCGCCTCGTAGATCATGACGACACGATCAACGGGGGGGACCTCCGCAAAGGCTACGCCGAGACCTTTTTAACATGGGCCGAGCTCTTTGACGACGCGTACTCGTCGTTCGCTCCGAGCTACGTAGCATGGACGACGGAAAAGACCAACAATGCTATCAACCATCACTTCTTAAAGAAAAAGTGGCAAAAGTATGGCCGGCTGCCGTCCCGCGACTGCCGCTTCGTTGGGGTTGACGAAGCATTCGCGGTCGAAGCGCTGCCGTACGCGATGGCCGTGGTCGTGCCCGACGAAAAGGCGGTGGCGGCCAGCAAGACGCCCATTCCCGACGCCATCTCAGTCTACATGGCTGTGATCGGTACGCCAGTCATGGACGGACGCGTCCGGCTGCAGTACTCGCGCCACAACTACCTCATGGAAGACGGCGGCCTCGGCTACGTCTACTATGGCGGGTGTGGTGTTATGTTTTACGGCGGATGCATGGGCATGTACGGCGGGTATGGCATGTATGGCGGCGGGATGATTGGCGGCTGCGGCATGACTGCTGGGTGTGCCAGCGGCGGGTGCGCCTCGGGATGCGGAGGCGGTGGCGGGTGCGGCGGAGGCTGCGGGGGCTAAGCAAGCACTGTTGTTGGGTTGGTTGCTCAAGTGTTTGGAGCTTTCGGTTTTACATAAATGTGGCGTCACCTTTTCAAAAAGGCATGTTTTGTCCGAATGTATACTTACAGTTAGTACATGTATTAATCACTACTATAGTTTTGCCCTACTGTACAGTAGTTGAACCACCAAGTGGAAAAATACCGTAGTTGCGCAATCGCTATCGAAGTTTCAGGCAATCTATCCAATAAGATTCCAGATAGGGTGGAAGACACTTGTGATTGGTTGAACTTAACCAATCATATCAAGCATTCGAAGCATCACTTGACAACACGGAATCCAACATGCGTGATCACCGCGTTCAGTGACGAATCATACTCTAGACCCTCCTTCCGAATCTCATCCACTTGGTATACTACTAGTACTATAAATATAGCCTAACTTATGCTTGGTTTGTGCTGTTTGGAGGTCGATGTAGCCGACAGATGGGGAGGGTTGAGTCCAGTCCGTTGGACATTTCAGACTTGACACAGTGCCCAAACTTCGAAATATACACTATGACGTGAGCATTCGACGTTTACCTTTCCTCTGTCATTTTACATCTCGAGTCCAGTGGGACCAGTCATCTCTTCCTTCTCATCCTTCATGGCGCCCAAGAACATTGTATTCGTGTCTGTGGGGACACGCGGCGACGTCCAGCCTCTCTGCATCGTGGGCCAAGCGCTAGAGGCATTGGGCCATACCGTGACGTTTGCGGCCGAGCGTCGGCTCGAACCGCTCATCACGACCGAGTTCGGGTTGGCGTTTCGACCGCTCGAAGGGGACTTTTGTGGGCTGTTGTTCCACGACGACTTCCACGACCGGTTCCGCCAGTCGAACGTGGTGCAGCTGTTGGCGTTGATGGATGAGTGGGCGAATCAGTTTGACAAGGCTGCCATCTTGGCGTCATACATTCCCGCGCTGAAAGGCGCCGATATTGTCATCTCCGGGCACCTGTGCGCGGACGAGTCGTATGCGGCGGCGGAGTACTTGGGCGCGACGTGGGTGCCCCTCTACCTTGGCGGGTTCAACCTTCCCACGGCCGAGTTTCTACACGGGATGATGGAAGGGTTTGTGGGGAGCTGGATTGGCTTTGTCAACCGATGGTCGCATCGGTTCGTGTGGTCCCAAGTGTGGAAAAACATACGTACGGTTATCAACAAATGGCGTGAGACGCAGCTGAAGCTGCCCCCCGTCACATCACCCTATGGAGTGCTTGACGCGCTAGTTACCAACGACAACATCGTGCAATACCAGGCCTGTTCACTGCTCCTTTCGGGTCCCAAGCATCAAGTACCCCTGGATTACACGCCTGGCAAAGTCGTGTACACTGGCTTCGTGTTCCCCACCAAGCCACAACCCGAGCCCGAGTTGTTGAACGTAAGTTTTATTCTGAAACCCCTAACCTCCGTAACCCCGAGTATACTACTGTATCACTGACTTGTATGACTGTAGGCGTTTCTCCACGCTACATCGGGTCCTGTGATTTACATTGGATTTGGCAGCATGCCGACGTTGAAACCTCTGGTGCTGCTGCAATTGGCTATCGACGTGTGCAAACTGGCCAACTGCCGGTGTGTTCTGGCAACGGGGTGGTCAGCTGTGGAGCAGCCAGGCGTCCAAGAGCTCGCAGCCACCCATTCCGACATCGTGTACATCGAAAACGGATCCATCTCACATCCGTGGTTGTTTCCTCAAATGAGCTGCATCTTGCATCACGCGGGGTTGGGTACTATTGGCGCGGCGTTGCGGTGTGGTAACTAAAAAGGTCAACTAGGTGGGCTACCTAACGGTCATGTATTTTGGTGTCCGTAGGAGTGCCCCAACTGCCCTGCCCAGTGGATATTGACCAGTTTTTCAATGCAGTTGTGCTGGTTCGACTGGGGGTGGCCCCTTGCACCGTGAGCAAGGTGCAGATGGTGTCGGCAGCGTACAGGGAATGACGTATTAAGCGCCCCCGTGGTACTTCGAATTGGCATTTCAATTGTGTATTGGGACAAACTACTTCGAAATTTCAATACTTTAATCAATACGAAATTTTAGTACCACGGGGGCGTTTAATACGTCATTCCCTGTACGTCGGCAAAGCTGTCCAGAAAGTGCTTGGGAATGACAAGATGATCCAACACAAGACGCGTGAGCTGGGCGAGTTTGTGTCGAAAGAGAGCGCCGAGACCGTGCCCCGCCTGTGTTCGATGATTTTGGCGACCAAACCCACGTTTGCTACTACTACTACTACTACCCCTCATGCGTAGTTGGGCAATATCTACCAAGACTGCATTCTAAGATTCAAGAGCTATTAACTATACGTATATATCCATGTACTAGTAGGATTTGTTCCGATAGTTTACAGTCGATTGCCACGAGCAATGCACACTGCTTGTATAAGTTACTTCTTTACATATACATACCAGTATTGTATGTATTTTCAAAATTCTCCCATAGGTTGGTTGAATGAACCGCCCAACAATCGCCCGACATTTTTTCTAAATTCAAGAGGTGTCTTTGTGAATATTCATTCGTACTAGCCAATCCCATTTCAATCTTCAATCTTTTTATCCAATCATACTGCTTTCCTCGATTTTTCAACAATCCCCAAAATTCGCACATACTATTCATAATACTGACCCTCGAAGTAGTAATTTATGGGCGAAAAGCCCAACACCGCAAACAAAGATCAAGCCGCCGTATTAATACTACTGTAGTACTTAAGACTTACGGGACAGCATTGAATATTAATACCAACCTTGGATACCATGGTTAATATAATATAATTGTTGAATTAAAAGCGTGGATGATTAATTGAGTTTGGATTATCATTTTTAAGACATTCCTCGCGAGGGCGGACACTAGAACCACATGTTATGGAACCGCTTCGCCAATTGTAACGCGCCTGCTCGACCAGGGGCGGTGTGTAATCTTCGGTTTTTACTTCGCTCAACGCTTCATACCTCGTGCTTCGACCGATCTTCTTCGAAGTTCGGTCCTCGTCTTCGTACGCAGCCCTTGTTATCCGGATTCCCCAGGGAGGGACGGATAAATCCTTGCGGAAATAATCCGGGGAATCCGGGGATCGAACCCACGACCTTTGAAAGCGTGGATGACATTTGGATGACATTGGATGAAATTGGATTAAGTTGTGGGATGAAACCTAAAATAGTGACCAAGCCTTACGTTGGCCCCGAGCGCCCGGGAGGCCGTCTGCGCAAGCGCGGCCGTACGAGAGCGCGGATCTAAGCTTCTCACTTCACCGAATGATCTATCTTTTCTTCTTGTCGGGCAGCGGCAGGTAGGCCGTACTGTACTGTAGGCCGTGCCGCTCCCGGACGAGGCCTGTATGCAATGACCTAGCATAATCCTAATTTACTCGCATCTACAGTAATTAGGATATGACCTAATATTAATGGTGGATGACGTTGGGATGACACATGGTACTATCACGGATATTTGAAATCCATATACTTTTTTATAGTAAATAATTCGAAGTATGCACTTTGATACAAAATGTAAATAGTAGTCACTCTAATTTTGGACGACCACAAACATGAGGTAGTAAGTAGTAAGTATATTGTACACGTTTTAAAACGAATACAAGTCGTCGTCACTCGCTCCTTCTGCTGCTCTTATCGTCGTCGACGAATCCACCACGGCTGGTTCTTGCATTGGCTCATCCTGTTCGTTCAAACTAAACATGTTGCGGCGTCGGGGGTCGCGGTCCCCGAGAAATGTATCCTGTCGCGCTAGCCCTGGGCGGTGTCCATTGTCCTTCCCAGGCATCGCCACAGCTAAGCTTTGCGACCGGTTCATTGTCGCCGCCGATTGCCGTTGTTGCTGTACCCCTCGTCCAGTGACAGAAAGAGAAGGATGATGCGTTCCCCTATGACTGCTACTCGCGTCGACAAGGTTCCTCCCCATCGATTCCGCGTCCATCGTGGACTTGGCGTTCAGATCCCGCAGAAGTTGCGACACACACAGCCGGTGGGTCACAAAGCTCACGGCCGAGTCGCTCAGAGACGCGCTGTTGAGGGTCCAGTACATTTGTTCGGGCGTTACTTGGATAGACGTGAAGAAGCGCAGCGAAAACGCAAAGAATGGCGACTTCAAGTAGTCGACAAGCAGCACAGGTTCAAACCAACCATGACCAACCAGCGTCGCCATCAACGCCATCATGGGGCTACACAGAGCTACCCGCTTGCACGAGATTGCACACTTGGCAAACTCACCCATGGACAGCGACACAGACGGCGCCGCGGTCGTGTCCATCTTGAGTTCCATCGCTTGAATGTTGTTGGTCGAGACGACGGGATCATCTTCGTTCGGCGGCGGGACTTCCAGCAACACGCGGAACGCGGCCTCTTGGACGCGGACTTGGAGCTCCGACTCGCCGCCTTCCATGTCTGTCACAAAGTAGCTCACGACCAACTCGCCATTGTCGTGCGAGATTGCTGTTCGAGCGGTAGTATTCGTTGGCATGTTCTTGGCAGGAGGAAGCGATGACGACGACGACGATGATGGAGGGGGGGTGAGGGGGATGGCAAAGCTAGCCTGCCATGGCCCCTTGCACGACAAGTCGGTGGCTTCAAACGAAAACTTGGAGTCGAATCCAGCGGGAAGGCCACCGTTGACCATCACCACGAGCTCGTCCACACGACTCGCGACCGTCGATAGCCATACATTGACTTGGTTGTACGTAGCTTCTAGCGCCGACAGCTCGAGCTCAATGTCCACGGCTTTGGCGGGTTTGGCTTTGGCGAGGTTTTGCCGAAGGATGCGGTCCATGGCAGTGTATGCCGCCGCCGCCACTTCGCACAAGTCGAGCCGGATGTTTGTGCTGTGCAGCCCGAGGGAAATATCCACGGGGTATGTTTCCATTTGCGCTACATTTGCCATCAACTTGGCAAAATCCAGCGGTTCGCCGCCATAGTAGCTTTGTTCATCGTCGTCGGGGGTCAGCAAGTGAATGGCCAGCTGCCAGCATGCCGTGAGAAGGGCCCGAACCGCCGGCGCATGGCGCAGCCGGACGCCGTACTCGACCAGATCGCGAATCGCCAGGTGCGGCAGCTGGGTATTCGAACTGTTCGACTTGGATTTTGTAGACGTGGTGGCCGACACTTGGACAAATTGCTTGTACAGTTTGAACAGTAAATCGCCTTGGGCGACCGAACACCCCACCAACTCGCGCGCCTCGGCGGCAGCGGCGCCTTCTTCGTCTTGGCCGCTACCCAGCCGGGTACTCGGCGCTCCGAGCGGTGCGTCAAACACGGCGAGGTTGCGTCCCTCGACATGCAGATCCCCCGACAGCCGGACCTTGGCCCGTCCATCCACGAGCAGCGCGCCGACTTCTGGACACAAGATGGACGGGATCGCATCTTGCACGACGGATGGAATGATCCGGTTGAGAAACGTCTTCATGACGCTATCGTGGGCGTTCCCGTGCACGTTCGACTGTGTCTGCCGTTCGTAGTACTTGAGGCTGGAAAAATTGAGCTGCAACGCATCAGGCTGGACGCGCCACCCGCCCGCGGCGTCGTACACGAGGGGAATGTCCGCCGAGAACTGCACTTGGATGTTCATTTCGTCCACGTGGAACGTCGGCACGAGCATGTACCGGCCTTCCGAGTACACTTTGAAGTTCATGGCGCGGATCTTGAGGCCAGACTCGGACAACGGCGTGAGACGGAGCAGGATTTGCGGGGCGTGCGGCTGGGTTTCAATGGTAAACGATGTGTGGTACGACGACACCCATACGTCTCTATATCGATGATAAATATATGTATACATCACGATCGTACAGTGTTATAAGAGTGATACTTCTTCACCAAGAAATATAAGAGCAAGAAAAAAGCTAAAAGCTTTGTTCAGATTGAAATCATTTTGTATCATATATATATATATAGATAGATACTAAAATAAAACGTTTTAAAATATATGACAGAAAGTTTGAAACAAGAGAGAGTATATCAAGTATTTCAAGTATTTAAAAAAATAATAGAGTCGCCATCGTATCAATGATATATATTCTAGGCAAATAAGCTAGCTAGCTACCAGCAGCAAATGTGAGTGCAATAGAAGGATTCAATACAGTACACACGTACAAGCAGGATCAGGCCATTGCCGTCAATCCATACAATGATAAGCAACTGACTGATAAGATATAGTGTGCAAGCAAGGCTCCTGCGAGCCTTGCTTGCACATTATATCTTATCCGATTAAACGAAAAAAATATTATAAAAATGTATAAACTAATAATCGCGAATGGTCGACACACTGCAACGAAGGTATTGTGTGGACTTTTGACAAATGTATGTTAGAATGTTCTAGCCAATCAAAGTGCGACATTTCAACCAATCATCGATCAGTACTATTTGACCAGTCAACCAGTTCATCTTTTTATATTTGTATATTGTTGTGTTTATTCTAAACTGGAGCGACATGGAGAATAATGAATAAATCGACGCAACCAAATAAATGTACACAAGAAGAATCATCGGCAGAAGGATATATTTAGCCAATCAGATTGCATGAAACCATTACCACATCTAATTAGGATGTGCCTTCAATTAGTGTGATACCAAGCACCACATACCATCGTTTTACATACAAAAGTCAATACAAGGGATCGATCGATAGATTTGGCGAATATGCACAAAGTTCAAATGTTGGGTAAAAACAGGACAATATCTTATTGTTCATTCGATTCGAAATTCGAGTGTTTGGGTGCTCAATCGAATGACCAGAATCACCAAATCGGCAGACAATCGATCGACCAATCAAAACACAAAACATGAATCAACTAGCCAATCAAATCCACTCTTCGAAGAATTCAAATTCGAATTAGTGTGTGATTGAAATTAGTGTGAAACTGGACGATCTTTACATGCAAAAGTCAAACAATCGATCGATAGATTTGGCAAAGAATTAGCACAAAAGTCAGCCAAATTTTGGGTAAAAGAAAGACAATAACACATTGAACGACCTACAACATCCGATTCACCAATCAACTCCCAAGTCCAACTTTCAGCGAAACTGACAACAATTATTGTGGTATATTCGGTACAGATTTCCAGACTCCGTCGAATCACGAATCGACGCTAACTTTTGGCTAATCCAATTTCGAGTGGATACATTTGATTGGCTCTTACAGAAATGACACGTATATTCACCCAATTAGAACTCCAGCACGATTTAATATTAAAATCAGACAAACCAGGCGAATTTTAAATTTTTATAGCAAATTCACAATCCAATCAAATTCTCTGTAGCTATAGTCTATTATGTGTACATATATAGTATGACGTACCCGACTCCAACGTACACCCCGGCCGTTCCAAATCGCAGCGTAAAGCCTTCGCAGGATGGTAGGTAGTGCATTTGCTTGGAATGATCGATGTCCAGTCGAAGTTGGTCCACCAATGTGCGCAAGTCGACGTACTCTTGGGGCACGTTGGTCGTCGTGGCTTTGGCCTGCGCCGTGAGTTTGGTTTCCAGCAACTTGAGCTGCTTTTGCATAGACTCGAGGCGTTTCCCGCGAACTTGCTTGTCTTCGGCCCACTGTTTTCGCTTATTCGTGTCGTCTGCGGCCATGAACGCGTGCATTTGATGGATGTACCGGCTCACCGTGTCGAACGACGTCGTGAGCGATGACGAGCTCAACGAAGTCGGCAAGAAAAACTCGTCGGCGTCAGCGATAAAGTCCTTGAGCATGCGATACGACCCCCCGGAATTGGTCAACTCGATCTTCATGTGCAGCATCTGCGCGACGTCGGCGGGCACATGTCGCGTGAGCAACCGACTTCGGTTGTGCTCGGCGTGGCGGCGCAAGTCGTCTAGCGTGTACTCCCCCAACGTGTTCCTACGCACCTACAACATGCAATGGGACTCGAGGAGGATAGTAGATCGAAGATGGAGATGGCTATACCACGGCGCGGCTGAACACAAGAGTCAATGGAAGGGGTAGGCCGGCGAGCCAGTTGAGGGCGTCGTCGATGTCGTCCACGGGTCGTAGATTGATGCTCACGAGGGTGTCGTCCGGTCGGATTAGACCGAGGTTGTCCATGTCGATCGACGATGGGAATGATGCAGCACTGGACTTGGGAGATGTCAACGCACTCGGCTGCTTTCGAGGATACACCTTGGACACGATGACGGAGCCGTGGAGGCTGACAGTCAGCCGCAACACGTCGACAATGTGTCGCGAGTGGCATGTCACTTCAGTGAGCAACGGCAGCGTCTGGAACGTGTAGTTCACGGGACTTGCCTTCGTGCTGCTGCGTGTGCCAGCGCTGGCTTCGATGAACTCGTTAAGAACTTGCCGCCCTGACGGCGACAAGGCCTCGCTGAGCAGACTGTGGCCGGTGGACGACAGCATCAGGGTGTGTCGGTTCTACAAGGTATGGCAAATGAAGACTGAGCAACCGCTCGTCAAAATAGATGCATTATTTCAAAATAGAGATCTGTCGAAATATGCATATATTTATTCATGATAATAGAAGGATAAATAGAAAAACGCAAAATAGTCGTATCGCTATATTTGAGCGACTGCTTGTCGTACTTTTTATAATTTCCTGGCCATGGCATTCATTGTTTGTATCCTGAGTAATTAAAAGCGAGATTTACTGGTTGTCATACTGTACACTTGTACTTGTTGTGGATTGTGATTCCATTACTCCTCTAAGAACGAGAACTATGTACTGTATTAATAGTACAGTACTTGTTGTGGGATTGTGATTCCAATCCTGTGAGTAATAGTAATACTGTGAGTAGTACTAGTACTAACTCACTGTTAGTACATACTAGTTCTGTACTATTAATATTGTGCTGCTACTACGTAGTATTTTACACACTACGTACTACGTAGTAGTACTCTGGAGTACTACACTAACAGTACTGCTGTACCTTACTGCAGTAGTACAGAAACGTTACAGTAACGTAAGTCGTATTGTGCCGTCGAAGGGAACAACACCATTGAATTCGCACAATATGAAAATTAGTGATGTTGCCTGAACAGGGCTTCTAAGCCTTTGCAAACGTCGGCTTTGTCTGCAAAATGCTCTCGCACAGTCGAGCCAAGGCATCCTGGCTCTCGTTGGCCACGTATTCGCCCATCTCTTTTGCCGTAGCTTGGATATTGTTGTCGTTTCGAAGTACTTTGAGCACTGCAGTACCCACATAGGCTGCGGTCATTTGGGTCTTGGACACTGCGCAAGCGGCCACGCCCAGCGAAATCAGTATCTTGGCATTATGGAACTGGTCTACAAACTTTGGACACGGAATTTGAGGCACCCCTACGTAGCCACAGAGCTCATTCAAGTCTCACGCCAAACCACTCGCATTGCATTAGACTGGCCGTACCACTCCGCAACGCCGCCGCCAACGTGCCCAACCCAGCGTGGTGCAAGAGGCAGCTCATTTGAGGGAACAGCCACGTGTGGGAAATAGAGCCCCGTTCCACGTACACCAAGTCAGAATGGGCGGCTATGAGCTCGCTGCAGCTGCTTTGAGCCATCGAAGTCCACCCCGCTGCCAGCACACAGCGGCAGTTGGCGATTTTGCACACGTCGACTGCTAATTGTACAAGCGCAAGCGGCTCCAACGTCGGCATACTGCCAAAGCCAATGTAAATGACCGGGGTCGACGTATCCTTGCTCAAAAAGGCCTACTCAAAGGTTGAATAGTCCTTCCAAATGTCGATATATTCATTTGGAACGTACTTTCAAGAGCTCTGGTTCAGGTTGTGGGGTCGTCGGAAAAAGAAACCCGCTGAACACGACCTTTCCTGGGGTATAGTCCAACGGTACTCGCCGTTTGGGGCCGGCGAGAAGCACCGAACACGCTTGGTACACCACGATATTGTCGTTGGATTGGAGGACATTGAGCATTCCGTACTCACTCGTCATCGGTGGCAACTGCAAAGACGATTCGCGCCATGCGTTGATGTGCACTTGCTGTTTCTTCCACACTTGGCTCCACACGTACGAATGGGTCCATGTGTTAACAAACCCAAGCCAGTTGCCTGTGTAGTCTTCCAGCAACCACTGGGGAAACTCGGTCGTGGGCAGGTGTACATGGCCCAGGAACAGCGGGACCCACGTCGCGCCCATCGCCTCCGCGACCGAATACGATTGGGCTGTACAGAGGGGCCCCCCAATCACAACGTCCGCCCCCCGCAGAGCCGACACATACGACGCCAAGATCAACTGCTTGTCATACTGTTCATTCCACTGGTCCATCAAGTCGAGAAACTCCAGGACTCGGGAATTGCGAAAGCGGACTTGAAATGACTCGTCGAACAACCCCCCGACTAAATCCCCCAAGATGGGGCGGAAGGGCAACTTGAACTCGGAAGTGATGAGATTCTCCAGTCGTGTTTCAGAAGCTATGGTCACGTTATGGCCAAGGGCAGCGAGGGCCACGCCGAGGACACAGTACGGCTGGATGTCCCCTCGCGTCCCCACAGACACAATCACAATGTTCTTGGGCGTGGATGGCATTACTGGGGCCGTCTCGAACGATGCAAAATGACCAGAAGTGGCGACACTCGAAAAATGATGACTTAGAGGGACGAATCAACAGCTTGGTGTCCTCGGCTGAGTTGTATGGTGACCAATGAATGATCCATAGCTTGCACTGGATCCTTCTGATGCGTCCAATGAATAACTTGATTGTGCTGTTCATCACGAAGTGGTACTGTACCTAGAAAGTCCATTATCCAGTGTCTATAGACTAATTCCCTGAGAGCGGCAGCTCCACGGTTGCTTCCGTGACCGTTTATCATTTCACTTGTTCTTATTATTATGCATACCGTCAGTCAAATGCTGAACAAAACATTCGGCTAGAGGTTTAGTGCAATTTAGTAGTTAGCTAGCCACTTGTAATGCTACTTAGCCTCGGAAATACTTCGAAGTAGCAACAGAATGGGTCGGGGGGTGGGGGCTCAGAGATTACAGGACTCTTGGTCTATATAAAGGGAAATCACTACGGAACAGTGAAACTGTTGCTATGAGGGAATTATTCGGGTACTAGTATGGAGGTATGCGGCCACTTAATGAACTGTTGTACTGTACAGTCTGTACCATACTACTACTGTACAACTCCAACATGTCAATTTGAAGTCCTCAAGACAAGGTCAGCAACGATGCACTCCTAGTACGTTAGTGCGTCCCAATGACCACGTGTGGGGGGTTGATGTAGCAAGGAATAGCAACGTAATACTATCAAACAAATCTAACCAACGCCTTTTCTCCTCAATTCGGCCAGCTGCACCTCGGGCTAGGGGCTTTACAGCTACTAGTAGGTGAACGTTACTGTACTGTACGCATACGCCAACGTCAAATTACAGTTGACTGTGAACTCGAACTGCCGGTTGACGTCAACTATTTTCCATCGTTCAAAGCGTACGATGTTGCCATCCATAATGACGGACCCAAGGGAGAGGAAGCACTATGATTCCCCAGCTAAACCTTGGCAAACGTAGGTAGTGATGTCGAGAGCATTTCGCATAGTTGTGGCAATGTATTGTGGCTTTCGTTGGCGACGTATTCGCCCATGTTGCTCGAATGTGATTTTCATTGCAAAGCACATGCCAACTTATGCCGCAGTCATTTGCATCGAAGTGACAGAGCACGGAGCCACACCCAACTCCACCAACAAGTTGGCATTGTGGAACTGGTCAAAGCACTTAGGGCAACGGGCACCACTGCAGAAGTTCCATCGTAAATACACTGGCCCACGCAAATGTAATGCAAGGGGCACACCACTCCGCAGTGCTGCTGGCAACGTTCCCAGCCCAGCGTGATGCAGAATACATCTCATTTGAGGGAACAACGACGAGTGGGAAATGGAGCCCCGCTCTACGTAACCAAGTCCGAATGGTTGGCTGCGAGCTCGTTGCAGCCAGGTTGAGCCATGGAAGTCCATCCCGCAGCCAACACACAGCGGTAGTTGGCGATTTTGCACACGTCGACTGCTAATTGGAGCAGCGCAAGTGGGCCCAGCGTATCCTTCCGAACCCAATGGAAATGACTGGGGTTGACCTGCTCTTGTCCAAAAATGCCTAACCAATGATGATGGTGTTAGTGTCACGTTGTAGATTCAACGTATATAAGTAGTCACACGCTCTTTCCATGGCTGGGGTTTAGGCAGTGGAGTTGTGGGGACGAGAAATCCGATGTACACGACCTTACTGGGGGCATATTCCAAGGATCCGCGACGTCGGGGGCCCGCGAGTAGCAACGAGCAAGCGTGATAAAACACAATGATGTTGTTGCTGAGCAACGAGTCTAACATGCCGTAACACGACGCGATGGGGAGCAGGTGAAGCGAATTTTGACGCCATTCGTTGATATGCACATGCTGCTTGTCCCAAGCTTGGCCCCTCACGAATGAATGTGTCCGTTTGTTCAAAAAGCCAAACCAGTTGCCCATGTAATCTTCCAGCAACCACTGGGGAAACTCAGCCGTTGGGAGGTGCCTGTGACCAAGGTATAGCGGAACCCACGTCGCCCCCATCGATTCCGCGACCGAGTACGACTCGGTGCCGTGATAACTAGATCCGCCCCCTGCAAAGCCGTGACGTATGATGCCAAGATGGCCAGAGTGGCGATCTGCTCGTACCACTCGTTCATGATATCGATGCATTCAAGGGCCCTGGCGTTGTGAAATCGGTGGTGGTATGACTCGTGGAACATCCAACCACACAACTCGCCCCCTCCAGGGGTCGGAAGGTCACCTTGATCTCGGT